TTCTGTGATTCTGTGATTCTGTGATCAAGCCATTTAAGACTTACAAATTTACTTTGTTTAGTTGTTCAATAGTATATTGTGTTATTAGGCCAATTAGTAGTTCCTCCGAGTAGCAGGACAGCACCCTGAGTGGATGCTTTATGTCTGAAGAGCTGTGGGTTTAAAACAGCCTTTCTCTCTTCATACTGAAAGGCTGACTGAGATTGAAATAGCATCTACTATGTTGGCATGGTGAATACGTGAAGTTGAACAAGATTTTCCTATTAAGAGGATTAAGACCAGTATTTTCCACCAACATCTTAGGTAGGTAACAAGCCACAGAGTAATCTTTGCTATTGTCTTTCTTTTCCTGTTTTAAAATAAATAAAATGTCTCACCACTATGAGGGTGGTGAGGCACTGGAACAGGCTGCCCAGAGAAGTTGTGGATGCCCCATCCTTGGAGGTGTTCAAGGCCAGGCTGGATGAGGCTTTGAGCAACCTGGTCTAGTGGGAGGTGTCTCTGCCCATGGCAGGGGGGTTGGAACTTGATGATCTTTAAGGTCCTTTCCAACCCAAACCATTCTATGATTCTGTGATTCTAAGTTATCTATTGCTTCAGTGTTATGGTGATTTTCAGCAATTCCAAGATGATGTAACAGGTACGTAAGTAATTGTACCATGCTACCCATAGTCAGCATTTTGTATTCTTTGTTGGATGAATAAGAAGTTTTGTGGGCTGTGTCATAGGGTGTTGATAATCAGGAAAGTTGCTATTCTGTAGATGCTGATTGACTCACTTGAATTACTGATATTATGTTTAAAATCTACTTAGAGCAGTTTACAGTAAAATACTTCCTTGAGGTCAGTTTGAAGTTATTTCGAACAGTATTGATGATGTTCTTTGTACTCTCCTCTGTGTGATGCATCAAGAGAAAAAGGACAACAAATCCATGTAGTTTATAATCAAAGTGCCTACTAAGAGTGAAGCTGATTGCACTCTGTAATCCTAACTTTTTTAATGCTACTGTAGACACTTTTGATCTGTCTTACAAATAAAGATTTCCTTCTTTTTGTTTCTTTGATGATGTGAACCTTACGCAGAGTACTAATTTCAGGTGACTTGCATGTGGGTTTTCAAGATTTGGAATCATGTTTTACTTACAGGGAAAGTAACAGTATTATCTCCAGTCTTTCTCCATTCATTACAGTGAATTAAGTATTGAGAACTGGATTATGCCTGCTGTTTATGCTGGCCATATTTCTCAAGTAGCATGGCTTCACCCACCCTGGGCTCAGCAGATCTCAGAAGGAAAACACCATTTTTTAATTGGGAAAGATATGTCAACAACTACAATCAGGTAAATTGTCTGCTGTCGTATGCTAATAATATAAATGTTATCCCTACAGCTTTTCATGGGTGTTTTTTTTTTTAATATTTTGTATATTGTATTTTTAAGTTAATCTACTAGTTAAGCATTGAAACAGGTACACAGGCAGTGAATTCTCCGTTCTTTGATAAAATCAAAACTCAACTGAATGAGGCCATGGGCAGCCTCATCCAGATTTGAGTTAGTTCTGCTTCAATCAGATGATTGACCAGAGACTTCCGGATGTCCCTTCCAATCTTAATGATTCTGTGATTCAAGTTCCAGTGACAGCCCCTCATAATTCTGCAGGGAGCAGTCAATGACAATTTCGCATTCACCATGTTCACTGCACTGTGATTTTGTACAGCTTCAGCAGACATTTACAAATCATGTCTCTTGCCAGTATATCAGAATATTTTGAAGCAAGTTTAACGGAAGACAGCAGAGAAATGCTTTGTTTTAACACTTGAAACACAGAAGCTCTACAATTCTGAAACTGAGGCCTAAAGTAAACCTAAATAATAAATCAAAAGCTAGTGCTTTCAGTTGCCTTTAGCCATTAGAATTAGCACACATATAGAAATACTTTATGATGGCCGAATAGCTCTCCTACAGATCCTCTGGTTGCCTTAGCAACCTTGAAAACAACATTTCAAGCTGCCTTTTGAAGACATTCAGGTATCTTTTCTTCAGGTTCTAGGCTTACTAAAATCATGAAGTAAAAAAGGGAAAAAGTCCTCAGAAATACGAACTTTCTAAAAGTTTTGTTGACAACAGGTGGCTGTATAGGCAATAGATACCTCAGTGTCCCACTAAGGGAAAGGCTGTAGCATGAGCTCATGTTGAACCATGGAGGATTTCTGAGAAGAGGCTCTGTGAATGCCCCATCAACAAGACGAAGTTGTGATCCAGTCTTCCACTGTAGCAGGCTTAGATAAGCCAGCCACCAGACACTGTGGGGAACTAAGATTCAAATTTCTGTTGCTCATGGAATTGTCTTTATGGTTGATTGATGATGATACCCTCTAATCGCATGAGGCCTTAACACAAACAAGCAGAAGTTCACACTTCTTCTTAAGTTTGTTTTTTAATCTGAATTTATGATGCCTATGGTTTAATGTGCTGAAATGTGGCTTGAAAATAATATTCTTTAAGTTCTCACTGTAAACAGAGTTTTTAGCACTGGTGGTTGGTTGGTTTTAATTAAGTGGATTCCATTAATGTGTAGCTATTAATCCTCGAGCTACCTGCTCTCCCCACTTAAAACAGGGAATCTGTATTGGTGGTAAAGAAAAGTTTAATGCTACCTATTAATTAATAATATTTTACTTTTACTAAATCAGTATCGGTGGGTTTCAGGGCAATTCTCAGACACAGCTAACAGAATTTTCCTTAAAAAATAGGCAGTCCAAGACAAAATATCAATAGCTTTGCAGTCTTATATGCCATAATATTTACAATATCTTGTTAAATTCTGAAAGTTAGCTTTAAAATGCAATTCAATGGCAAATTAATCTTAGCAGCAGATAATGAAGATTCTTTTTCGTATCCATTAAAAACCTTTTAGGACTATCATACAAAATATAGAGTGAATTTTACTATATTGATTCAGCAATAAAGAAGTATAAAAAAACTTCAGTTTAAAAACCTGTGATTAAAATAAATTATTTTGTGTACACAGTTTAATTGCTTTTGTTACACATCAGTCATCTATTAATTCTTCTCAAAATCCCTTAAGTGTACATGCTTTTTCCTAAGCTCTTTGCAAAGATGTATATTAACTGTGAGATATTGTCAATTGTAGGGTTACAGGTACAGATCATTACTTTTTAAGTGACGGTCTTTATGTCCCTGCTGATCAGCTAGAAAACCCGAAGCCGTTAAATTTACATGTCATTCTCATCAATCCTACTGAAGCATCAAACAGCCAGGAAGAAAATGGTGAAGCAGCATCTGCTAAGAGACTGAAGTTAAATACAGATGACACAGCAAGCACCACTTCTGCCTCTTCATCAGTGGCTCCTGGTCACCTTGATCACAGCACCCCAAGTCTGAAGAAAAGGGAATTACAAAATGCAAGTGCCCCGAACAAGGCAGAAACGTTGTCAGAGTGCTCAGCCTCAAGCTCTCTCAGAAACAGTGAATGTCCAATAAGGGAAGTCATTGAAGATGTCTGCCAAGTACTGCAGAAAGGGGATGCATATGTTTTAGACATTGATTTAGATTTTTTTTCAGTTAAAAATCCATTCAAAGAAATGTACACACAGGTAAGCATGACAACGGAGAGGCCTCTTAGCATTCACAAAAGAGTACCAGTCCTAACATTTATGTCTATGGAGAAACTTCCATCTAAGCTAACTTATCAGATCAGCTGTTCATGATTAATTAGTCATGGTAATATTTGAAGGAGAGACATTCTAAGGGAGTGTATGCTCCAAAGAAGTACAACAGTCTAATAGGGGTAGATCCTTATATTTGAAATAGGTATTGAGTGCATGTTCAAGCTCAAAGGTGTATGGCTCATTTCTTGTTGCTTGAGGCATAAACGCTATGCTTGGGATTCCAAAGGTGTAATGTTCCAAATACCCACAGCAAGATTCCTCAGGGAGAGAAGACAAATTGTATCATATTTTACCCACAAAGAGTTGTAACTTGTCCCGATGAAAGGCTGTTACTCTCATTTCCTTTGTCTGGACTGCTGAGTATAAGGCTGAGCAAGCAGCTATTGTCTCTGATGCCGTAGCTCTAAGCTTAAGACTCTGCCTTGTATTCCATTTATAATTTACCTGCACAGCAAAGGTATCTCACCTGTGTAGAGTCATAAATATGTAGATCCTCAAAGGTGCAAAGCAGTTAGCAGCTTTTCTTGACGTGAACAGGATTTTTAGGAACTAACTAAACTGCCATAAAAATTGGGTGTGGAATATAGGTTTACAAATTCATCTGCAATATCTTTACTGTTTTTAGCATTTAAATCTCTCTTTAACACTGTTTTAACTTCAGCCTATGCTGGAGAGCATCTGACATCTTTGAGTTCCAGATAGACTATTGCTTCCTTGTTCATCATAGAGAAGTGAATATAGTGTCCTTGACCTCTGTTAGCTTCTGACATTCAGTATTTATGATCACAGTGTCTTCAGACAATATGCAGTGCCAGTTGTTCTGAATCACAAAGGGAAAGCATCATGGGAGTCTTGCCATATAAGAATAAGATGCAGTATCTCTCTTAGGTAAAAAACATTCTGAATAAAGTAATGGAGTAATTTTGGATGGAGTTTTTTTGTTTGGTTGTTTTTTGGGGGGAGGGGTGGGGCTGTTTTGTTTGTTGTGCTTTTTTTTTTTTTTTGTGCTATGAGAGATTCTCAGTTCTAGGAACAACTTTCAGAAATGGAGCTGTGCAGAGCACCCAGTACCTTTTTTGATATAACAATTTGATTTGCAGTTAAGATTTCTTAACTAGGTTCCCTCTATTGTAAATTACAATAATTTCCTCCAAAAAATTTTCACAAGTTAACACTTCAAATGTAAGAATATAAGGAAAAGCTAAAAAGTAAGTATGGTTCACCAATATAGAAGGGTTATTCTCTTCCCACCAAAAAAATCTAAAATCCAAAACATTGTCCTGAAGATACCTTGTATTTCTGTAAAAATTAACTAGTCTACCTTTTCTTTCTCCCTCCTGAAAAAATCATGGATGTTCACCTTTTGAATGCTGTTAAATAAATAATGAGATCTGTTTATCCTTGATTAATTAAACCTTAATATTATCAAGGAGTAGAGCTGAAAAGCCCCTGTACTAATTTACTTGTGAACTTGGCCAGCCAGCCTGAAGTCTTTACCTCTCTGGTTTTTATGTACAATCATACTCTCCTGTTGGTTTTGTCTGCCTAAATCTGCTATCTCAGTTTTACCTTTACCTCATTGGGACCATAGCTTGGCAAAACATATGTTTCATTTCAGAGACTCTTTAACTAACAGACTGTAAATACTTTTAGTTTTTAAAGCTGTGTTCTTGAAATCAAGTTTAAAGTTCAGCAATGGAAAAATGTTTGGCTGAGGCCATGAAGTATTGCTTTCTTAAGCCTCACAGCCTCTTCCTCACCTGAAGAAGAGACTTGTCTGCAGTACTAGAGTAGATGAATGATCTTAGTGACTAAATTATTTTTTTTGAAGAAGGAGGGCTTTGAGGATTTTGTTTCTCATCTGAAGTGCCTAAATTTTTGCCTCTTTTCTTTTTCAAAGACAGAATATGAGCTTTTGCAAGAGTTGTACAATTTCAAGAAGCCTCATAGAAATGCAACAGAGGTATGGTATTTCCTTGTGGGATGTATGAGGGAATGAGTGATTCTTTTGATTTACCCCATAAAAATGAGTTACGACAGGAAGGAACATATGAAAGGTGCTTGATGAAGTGGTCTCCAATTAAGCTATGCAGCATGCTGAATGCTAATCAGCAGCATCTTAGGAGTTCTTTCCTGTTAAACATTTTGGTTAAATGTGTGAACTGCATAAATATTTAGCAGAAGTGTGAAAACTGATCTCTGTAAACAAGTGGTAATTGACAAGGAAGACATGCAAACATAGAAAGTCATGTGCAATCTTGTTTTTTTATGGCTCAACAGGGCTTTGGTTTGTCTTTGTTTTTTTGTTTTGTTTTTTTTAATTCCCTCCAGGCTCTCCCCTTTCTTGCCGTAGTTGGTTTTCCTTGATAGTCAGAGCTGTGCTCAATGCCTGACTGGTATTTTACCTATTTATTTAGATGTGGAAAGCTGGTATTATACCATTGTAATGTACTTTTCATTGTATGCATTGTGTGCTTCTGAATTATAGAAATGTAAGCCTGCTGTAGCTGCCAAAATGGTCATTCAGCCCTGAACCAAACCATGGAGACAACCACGTTAATGGTCATTACACCAAGTAATTTCTAAACAAGATCTTGTTTTTGCTTTCATAATCTCATCTGAACGCTATTAAAGAAAGATTGAACACATATAATTATCATAGATTAATAAATCCTAATTAATATGTGTGTATAAAGAAATCAAGATATGTGAAAGACTGTCAAATTGATTTTCACATTATTTAGTCAATCAGCAATAAAAACAGTTACCTATTTAAAAGGTCATTAAATGTGAAAGGGGTAAATGCTTGTGATTTAAGTTACCAATGTGATTTCAGGGTGTAAGTTTTTACAAACGTCAACAAGTTTATAGGAGGCAACTGAAATGGTTAGCAGACAGTGAGTAATGGATAGATATTAGAACTGAACAAAGCAGGACCAGATTTGTGGATGGTTTTATAGTGAGACAGTCAATTTAAGGGGTCTGAAGGTAGAAAATTTTCTGGTTTTCGAAGTTTCAGAAAATATCTTAGATGTCTAGTCTCTTAAAATCTGTTTTTGTAGTTCCAAAGTATGGTTACTAATAGTGTATTGTTTGAGGTTTATTTGTTTGGTTTTGAAGTAGCATAAAGGGGGATTGGATGTATCTTTAAGATTAGTTAATGGTGCTGCTTGGAAAAGAATCATACCCCAGGATAAGATCATGAAGCTGTACTTCGTGAATGGTTGATACCCTCAGTTCCTCTTAAAAATTATGCCGAATTTGACATCACTGGCCAAAAGAAAGCAGCATCTGTTATCTGATAAAGCCAGCAGAATCCTAAGAGGGAATTGTTATGTTCTTAATTGTTACCCATCTATTCCAATGTGCTTTTTAATAATTTTCCTTCGCATATCACTGCACTGGGCATTTTTAATGCTAAATATGCCAAGCATTGCTTTTCATTTTATGTGTTATGTAGGAATTCTTACTGCAAATGTTTGCATGCACAACTGTATTCATGTATGTAGCATCACTCCAAGAAGGTTGCCTCTGTATGTGTTCTGAACTTTTTAAGAAAGGGCATAAACCTTTGCAGGATCAGAGCAGTGACTGACATTTTAAATTAATTCCATGTTTTTTCAGGCATGCAGAGTTGAAACAACCTCAAAGCATCAAATAGCCCATTTTGTTTTGTTTTTCTGAAAATGCATTTGATTTAATAATATATTTTTTTTTAAAACTTACAAAAATTAAATTCTCTTTTTATTATAAAAATGTAAGGGTTGTGCTAATCTGAACATTTCAGTTGTATAGAGACAAATCCAACAATAGTCATATACAGTTTCTTAGCTCTCCCCGATGTATCCTACCAGCATGTAGATGTGGCTTTTTTTATTTGTTGTGGGAAAGACAGAGCACAGGGAGGTGATTTATTCTGAAGATATAACAGCTTCTGCAGGCATTCATTCTGATCATCTTGAAAAGATGTTCTGTAGTAATGAATCAATTGTTTCTGACTCCCCACTTCCAGTAGATCAGTCATTTCAGAATTTATATCATAGAGTAAGCCATGACATTCTTACCTCTTTTTTTTCCTAACATACTTTTATATGTGCTTATTTAAAGGAGGGCTTGCTGGATTGTGTTGAAAACCGTGTTCATCAGCTAGAAGATTTGGAAGCAGCATTTGCAGATTTGTGCGACAGTGATGATGAAGAGACCCTACAGAAGTGGGCTTCGTATCCTGGGTAGGAGATTTCTAAATGTCTTAAAACGCAAACAGTAGTTTGGGAACTGATTAGCCCATCACTTTGCTAACAGAAAAGGAGAGAAGCCGGATAGGATCTGTGCAAGGCTACCATTTTTCCTTTAGTTCTAGAGGAGAAAGAGTCAGATAAAATAAAAGAAAAGGCAGTCTGCTGTCTTCAGTGCCATAGTAAGCCTTCCAAAATCAGCCTTGTCCAGCTTCATGCAAATTCTGCTGCCTGTGGAGGGAGGCAGATTTGGTGACTAAAAATTTAGTGATCTGTGTGAAGCAGAGCTCCCAAAAAAGCAACAGACTACAGAGGATATGAAGAAGGACTTCTTTGGTGCTCCCAAAGGCTCTGTTTTCTGTGGAAAACTGTAAGTGAATGAAAGGCTGAGTGAGTGTCTCCACAAAACATCTCAGCAGCATAAACTATGCTTTTAAACTAAATGTTTTCAGCTGAAAGGAAACAGCAAAAGTTCGAGCTTTCCCTTAATAGGAAAATTACTTATTTTCCCCATCACATGCAGCAGTTACTGGCAGACCTGTGTAACAGTGACCACAAGCATTTCCGATTGAGTTCATACAATTTTGAGCTACAACAGCTTCTCTCCAGGTCTGCCGTAAAAGAACTGCAAAGAGGTCTTGCCAGAGGCAGGCATGAGTATAGGGGCTTGCTAAGAAAGACCTGGTAAAACAGTACCATAGTACTGATAATTTCAATTTTTTTCAGGTGCAAGATGACAGAGGAGCAAAGTTCATTTTCAAATCCTAGGCCATGATAACTTCTACTTTCTAGTTTTTTCCTCTTTTTTTTTTTTTTTTTAACCACTTAATATAAGGTAAATATATGTGTTTCCAACTGTTTCTGTAACAGGTTTTGTTTTAACTCCAGGATGAAGCCACTTGTTCAACTAGTTCACAGTTTGAAAACCAGGATGGAAAGCCCAGACTATGAAATGGTACGTGACTGTGTAAAAGAGCAGAAAGTAGACAGATTTCAAAAGCATAGCTACAAACACAGATGGCAAAGATCATGCTTCGTTTCAGACTTGGTTCTTGATTCAGGACTTTGAGATTTTGGTAGTTTTCCTTTTTTTTTATGTCTTATTAGCTGGGCCAGCTTTTCTTTTTACAACTTCTGCAATTCTACTCTGCTTGTCTATAGGCAACATTAATGTTAAATTCAGGACAGTGATGTCTCAGGCTGCTTCCTGTGAAGGAAGGTTTCATTTCATCAGGGTCTGTTGAAATATTTTATAGACTTTAACTTAAAATACTTAAGGTATTTTACAAATAAAGATAAGACCTATCATCTTCAAGGACAGCAGAATACTTTGAATTCATAGGAGAGGTACAGTGTATTGGAGATAATAAAACAACCCATACAACCTTCAGAATTTTATTCTTTCTGTTTAAAGAACAAGATGGGGAAAAGAAAACCCAACTCTTACTGCCTGAAGAGGTGTAAATTACCTACCGGGCTAGAGATGCTATCTTAAGAGACTTTTTACACAGATAAGCTATATCAATAATGCATCACCAGAAGTGAACTCTCTGTTTAATTTACATGTAGGTCCATCAGGCTGGTCTGACCTGTGATTATATGGAGCTTCCTCACCATGTTAGCACTGAAGAGGAGATCGAAGGCCTCATACAGTCCGTTAAAATTCTACTAAAAGATATGCCTAAGCCCACACTTGTGACAGTTGCTCGGTAAGACTATGGAGATACTTTTATTTTAAAATGCTCAGACTCTGCTTACAAAGCTAAATGGTTCTATCAATACAGCACTGGCTGGCACATCTTAAGTTCTGTCTTAAAGTGGAAGCCTCACAGTGTAGTGAAAATTGACATTTGAAAATGTTGATCATAAGGCAATGACAGTATCTACACAGCTAAGGGGAGGTTCTACACTGATGGACAGTTTTACTGCACTTTAGAGTAGCTGGCACACATTTCAAAAGCAGTGAAAACATGATGACTTAATGAGCTTCAGTACAGCCTATATAAAGCCTGTGATGAGGCCTTGTGTGTGTTGAGATTGATAGCTGCCATGGGGGTTCATACATCTCCACTAATTTTATTTCTTGCGCTAGTTAGAGTGACGCTGGCTTGGACAAGCCTGCATGGGCTGAAATCACACCTTCCTTACTCTCTTGAGCTAGGGTTCATTGTACTACTTTCTGTTCTAGAAGGATCTAGTAAAGCTCTGTATCAGGTAAAAGTTACGCTTCCAGGACTGTAAGGGAATTATTTGGGAGAACAGGATGGAGTTTGAGACCAGGTACCTGGGAGAACCAGGGATCTGTGTGGAAGAACTTAATTTGAAGACCACAGTGTATCTGTTGAAAAGTATTGTAATTTAATAACTTCAGAAATACTAAGTGTGCCCTTAAAGGGCAGGCAGCAATAGCAGAAACTGACACGAAATTAGTTTAGTCAACAAGAAATAGCATGGCTAACACCTACAATAAAAGAAAGCTGTATTTCCTGATAACTGCAGGGTTATCATCCATTGCTGCAGAGAAAATACAGAATCATTTATGTAGATCTTGACAGATATAAAATCCAAGAAGTGTCAGCTCTGCTTTTTTGATAGTTATCTTTTTGAAGTTTTTTAATAGATACTGTAAGTAATGTTGTATTCCACGGATTGTGAAGATTTGTTTTCCAAGTTTTCCTACCTATTGTACTAGTAGCATTTGAATTTTTCAATTTGAACTTTCCACCGGTCCTTTAATTAGATCATTTGCTTGAATTTTGATTGGCAACATGTTTGGTGTCTGACTCAGGAAGAGAGTAGAGTTGAAAGGATGAATCGGCCACATTCCTGGTCTGCTCCAAACTTTCTACTCAACTTCAGGCAAACTGTTACTGTTGAAAGTAGTGAGGAGCAGCACAGCACTATGCTTTGAAGAGGTGCTGGGAGGCAGAACTCACCACAGCTTAAAAGTAGCTTCAGCCTAGACACAGGCACAGAGTATTACAAGAATACAAAATGTGGTGATGGTGGTGATATCTGTCGTCTCATGCTTTTTTCAATTCCTTGTTACAGATCAAGTTTGGATGACTATTGCCCTTCAGAACAAGTTGACATCATTCAAGAGAAGGTTCTCAGTTTACTAGGTTCAGTGTATGGCACTCTGGATGTGCACTTAGATTACTCAAGCACCTCATCTTCTTTGTGACCCTTCTTCATAAATTGCCCTCTAATGTAGTGGATTAATTGAAGTCACGTATTAGCTATGGTTGCAAGGGGAAAAATACTGTTGTTTCAGCAGGTGGCACTAGAACCCAAGCTGACCAAGAGCTAGTTTTGAGTTGCATTGCTTTCTCCAGATCAGCTGCACCTGAACTCTGTTACTGTTTGGCTTTGTTCAGATTAGTTCCATGATTGTTATTTTACTGTTTTCCTTCTTCTTAAAATTGGTGCAAGAGTAAGTTGGGTTTTTTTTGTAAAAAACAAAACATATACATATATAACACTTCTTAAAATGAATTGATTTATTTTATGTAATTAAACTTTTTTTATCAATAGAGTTTGGTGAGTAACAGAGATGTTCCTGAGTTGCAATGTACCTTTTAAAAAACTGTCTCAATAATGCCATTAAGACATTTACATAGTGATCTTTCTTAACTGCTGTACTCGAGATGACGATGCATGCCCCTCTCATTTCCCTAGAGCAGTTTATGGCTTGTACCCCATCCACAGAATATAATTTATATTTATACTCTGTTGCATTAGTATTGTCTTATTTTTGCCTCAGGGTATTTCATTGGTGACTCACATAATATCCCTAATGTACAAAAATTTATTTGATATCTTCATTTTTATGTATTTGAGGATAAAACATATGTGTGCTTTTGTCTGTTGAATCCGGTAAGGGTTTGAATGGGTAGTTTCTTCAGACACAAGGATTTAACTTCACTCTAAGTCGGCAGCAAAACCTTCTGTACCAGGTTTTTGCTCATGTCAGTATTGCTGTTTGGAAAATAGCAATGGTTTTAGAATAATTTCATTCTAAAATTAAATGAGGAAATACTCCAGGCCCCACAGCACCCTGATGGAGGACAGTCCACAAGGGCTGTGCCTGGCAACAGCCAGCTCAGGACCCAGGATTGCCTGAGCTGTCTGTCAGGGCACAGCAGTGGCAGCTGCTCCCTCCAGGCTGGGAGTGGAGAGCCAAAGGTGGCCCTGGCACAGGCCAGGCTGTACCACACCGACAGGGCGGTGCCACAGCAGCAGAGCCAGGGCCAGATGGTGACACCAGCAGCTCTCATCAGCAGCCCAGCGATCACTGGGCAAAAGCATGGAAGCAAGCCAGGTCAGCAAGGGCTGTCAGTACCCCAGAGCCCTGACACTGGGTGAAGGAGGAGGCATATTACAGACTAATGAAAATGCCTTTCACCTTCCTTAGACAGCCCTTCATCTGTGCAGCAATCGAGAGGTACTTACCTACTGTCGTGAGTGATGGGGCTGTGTAATGTCAGATAATTCTGCATCAAATCAAATGGCTTATCCTTCCCCCTTTTTCCCAACGCACATCCTCTGCAGCCTCTGGCAGCTCCAAAGCATGCTAAGAAAAGTCCCATCTTCTTTATCCCATTTTGATAGGGCTGATCGCCATGTTTCTGATTCTAAGTCCCTTTTAAAAATTCTGATTGTAATACTGTGTCTTTGTTTAGTAAACTGTTCAACCTAGTAAATACGGTAGGGAGGCTTTCAGTAGTCCTGGTCCTGTCTTACTGGAAGAGCCATGTTTACTTAATAGATCTATTAATGTGTTATGGTCCTTTTCATATCCCCATAGAGGGTTCTTCTCAGTAAAATAAATTTATTCCTAGCCTATATTGTGGTAATCTGCGGTGAGTTTAACATCAGAAAAGAGGACATTTATTCTTTGGCTCAATCTTTAGGCTATGAAACAGCTGAATATGGACCTTGAGATATTTCCCTAAGAAAGGGCAATAACCTTACTGGCTTTGTGGTTGTGAGGGCATTGCCTGAATGGACACTAGCATGGACAGGTTCACAGAAGTGACCAGTAGTTTATTATCAGTGTGGAAAGACGTCAGACCCCTGTTTTCTCTGGGTACTGATCTGTGATGATGCTAATTGCTTAGTGTTTCAAGGCAAAAGTTCCCTTTGACTGATGTTTTATTTTGAAACGGGGGCCTAGGGGAGGGAAAAAGAGATCAGACAGAAGTGGGGGGATTGAAATTGAAATACTGCAATGAAAACATGGAATGGCGTTGTGCCAGACAAAAACTAAGCCATCCTTCGTTCATTCAGAAGAGTGCAGAAGATTTAACAGTAAATTTTGCAAGACATTATTTTTCTGTAAGGATCTTTCCTTGGGACAAGTAAATTACATTCTGTAAAAAGCAGTAGCCCCACACTCTTGTCAAATCTCACAACATAATTAGAGCTGATTTCTGTAAAAACCCCCGGTGGACTTTTAGTTAAACATCAGTGGGTGTTAGAGAATCTGACCTGGCAAGTCCACCTCTTGTCGAACTGGACCATATATGCCTTTGGGGAATTGAATGTGCAAATGCAACAGATATCAAAAATGGCACTACAAAACCAATTAGCTCTTGATAAGTTGTTACTTATGAAACAGAGTGTGTGTGGTATGTTAAACCTCACTGAAGGTTACATTGTGTTGCATGCAAACATCAGCTAGTCCAGTTTTACTTCGGGACCACAGATTGTAATGTCATCTCTTCAGTTCACAGCTTGCTTTTCTTTCATAGCCAAAAGTCATATGCATTACTAAAAACACTTAAAAGGAGAAGAAATCCATAGTTAAGGTCTGGAAGGAGCTCAAGGAAGGGCAAAGCAAGTGTCTTTGAATTATTCTGTTGTAGAATTTTTAAACAATGTAGAAACTTGCAACATTCTTAATAGCCCCTTGAGAGTTCAAAAAGTTTTCAAAATGAAGAATATTAGATATTAAAATTGCTTCCTGATGGAAAAATAAAAAACATTTAATTTCAATCTTGTCATAAAGTTACCCAAAAGAAGGGCCTTTAGCTGGTGCCCAGCTTATTGAGGGCACTGGATCAGGCTGGCTCCTTCTCAGAAGATTTGACAGGAGGAATCTGCTCTCAGGTCAAGAAGGGTTCTGTATCAGCTGGTACCTCCTGTGATCGTTTTAGAGTCCAGGCAGAGCACCAAAGTACACTTCTGGGGCATTTCTAAACATATTGTGCAGTCTGTAACCCTCCCTTCTGCTGCCATTAGGTCAGAAGCATTGAGAAAGGCCAACAAGGCAAAATTAAAAGTGTTTCTATGTGCCTTTCTTGTCTGAGATTGGATCCTAAGTGAATTTGGCTGTACCAAAAAATTCTACCTGAAGTTTCTGCCATTTGTGTCCTTCCTCCTACATAGCCACTAGAAAGACAAAAGTTCATTGCTGACATGTTATAAAAAAAAATTACAGCTAGACTTGCCTTTTCGGGGATCAAATATTCTTCTTGCTGCAGAAACAGCTTCCTGCTTGAATGGAGTATATTAATTTCTCTCTGCAATCAGCACTGCACTGATTTCCACTCTCAGAAGCACCTGTCAGTAGGACAAGATAATTCCTATGCCCATTTAAATTACCCTTCTCTAATAAAGTACGAGTGCAAAGTCTTTGAGTACCCTGAAATTCATATTAGAAATGGCGTACAAACAAATTCATTTTGAAGATGCTGTGATAAATTTAATAGACAGGATGTTGACCTGGGGAGAAAGGATTAACTCTTCATTTTTTCCCAAAGAGGAAAGAGGGAAGGGAAACTCAGGACTCATGTCCAGTCTGTAAGGAGGCATCCAGGAAGGCGATCATCCAGAAAGAGGACAGGAACTGGTGAGAGGTGGGTGCTGCTGAGCACCTTGCCGCCTGCATTTCGGGCTGAAAATAATTACTGTGATTCATCTGGAAAGGAGTGAATTTATAAAGCAGCACACTCTCCTCTGACAGATGCTCTATGCCAAATTAAAGTCTAGCTCAAGCCAGTTCAGGTTCACAGTTGCTTGTATTAGTGGATTATATCTGGTCTATACCACAGTTTCCCCCACAAATATGATATAATTTAATGTTTCCTTCACTTCCTAGGTGGCTACTTTTTGTCTTTCATGTGGACTGCAACCAGCCACCTTCAGGTGGGGTTGATTTTTGCTTACATGATTATGCAATAGCCAGCTTGCAGGGCTTTAGAGGGAAAATTGGAAAGCAAAAAAAGCCTTCTCAAGAACCTGTTATCAAGCATTGATGAAAATCTTCCAGGTTCATTACCTGCTGAATTCAGGCTAAGGTAGGTAAAATGGAATTTGAGTCTGAGGGCTTAGTTTTTATTATAACATTGTTGGTGACTTTTAAAGAACCTTTGCTGAGGCTGGCTCAATTTGCTTGTCATAAGGTATCTGACAACTACATAGCAAATGGGTTTTACAACATATAATTACTTGTCAAGACTAAGTTTTTTAATAAAAAAGCATTCTTATCCAAACTTCATTCTATCAGACAACAGGAGCTCTCTCTTCATTGGGCTTTTTTGCCTGGCACAATGCAACATTTTCATCTTGCTTTCACTTACTGGCTACTTGTAGAAGGTAATACCTGTACTTTAGAACATATTTTTCTAAATTCCCACTCCACCTTTCTCTGCAAGTCCTCCCAATTAATTTTTTGCCTAACTCCTACAGCTTGTTTCATCACAGGTTGACACTTGAAGAATACATATAGGTGAGAAATTCCTCTGACCCACCTTACTGTGAATGTATTAATGCAAACACTTCACCAGTCAGGACCTTTGTATGAACAAATGCAACAAGTGTTTAAAGTAGCAGTTTTCTTTATGAGGAATGTTTTCAGTGACCTAGATACCACTCTGATTTTTTCTGTTTCTTGCAAGAGGATGTTGGTGCAATATAAGTTTTCACTTATCTCAATACCAGTGGACACTTTTTTGCATTTAATATTTCACATATTTCATCCAGAGAAGAAAAGAAAAAAATAAGGTACATTGTAAAGAACTTCCTCAGGATAAAGGGTCGGGTTGTAATTACATGAAGTGGAAGTGTGCATTACTTAGTTAAGTAACACACTGAAGTAGTACAGTTAAAGGATGTTATATCCTTGTATTTGGAAAAATAAAATTATTAGAAATAAGCTTAAGACATTTACTGTTTTGTACATATGTGCTAGTAAAGAAATTTGATCAGAATAGTGATTTTAAACACCACTGTGAAGGCACCAGCATTATAATTAACTCAGCTTAAACAAAGAATACAATAACTTTTTTTTTTTTTTACAAGGCATGAGCAGCTGCTGACTTTAAGAGAAGACTGGATTTGATTTTAAATAGCACCTGTAGTAGTGGAGTGACTAACATAGGTATTCACTACTCCATCAACCTCTGAAATTTGAGAGCTGGGGCAAACCCCAGGC